GGGGTCGGGGTCGCCGCCGTTTCCCAGAGGGCGCGGGGACCCCAGGAAAACACGGCCAGCTGCGGGTGGGGCTCGGGCGGAGCCTTATTTGCACGCCTCGGGGGAGGGGGGGGCGGTGTCCGCGGAGTGGGCGTGGCCTTTGCCCGTTGTGGGCGGGGCCGGGAAGAGACCTGCGGAAGCGCGCGCATTCGAATCCTGATGCATGGGGCCTGGAGTCCAGAGCCTGGCAGCACTGTGCCCCGTGCACAACCCGGCTTGTGACAGCCGCAGAGGCCAGGTCTCAAGGCGGGTGGGAAGTGCAGATGGCCGCCAGGGTACACGTGCACGCGGACGGGAGGGGCCAGACAGGTACGCGATGGCTGAGCGCTGCAGGCTCTAGGCACCTGGCTGCAGATGCTGCCTGGCAGGGCAGGGGCTTAGGCCAAAGGCCAGAGAGACCAGCTGGAAGAACTGTATCCTGAGTCATTTCTGATCCTGAATTGTAGCCTGGCCCTTTCCTAATAAACCCACATTCATGAGTATGCTCTCTATGGGGCTATTAGAGCCATGGATTATGGAACCCAAGAGAAGCACACGGTGGGAGGGCTGCCGTCAGAATTGGTGAAAAGGGCGGAGTCAAATCTGACCTGCCACAGAGGAATCAGCTTGGGGTTGCCCCCCACCCCAGCTCCCTGTTTTCCACAGCCTATCTCAGGAGGCAGGAACTAGGGTGAAGGAGGGGCAGCAGTTGATGGGCTGGGAACCATGCCATCCAGGGTGTGGCCCTGTGAGGTCCAGATAGCACCCACCAAGGACCTGGCTGGGCCTGCAGGTGTTCAGAACAGATAGCAGCTGCAGGCACTGCGGGTGGCATACAGACAGGGTGACATGGGGTGTGGAGTGAGGTGGCACCAAAGGAGAGTCCATTCTCACAGCAACCCTAGGGTTCAGGGCAAAATTGAACACCCCATGGGGCTTCCAGGGCTGTGATCTTTAAAGAATCAGACAGCCTCGTATTTTCTCCTGCGGGGTTGCTGGTGGGTTTGAACCGCCAACCTGGGTTATTAGCAGCCCTAATGTTTAACTCACTGCCATAAACTCAATGCCATTGAGTCAATTCTGACTCACGGAGACCCTTCCGGACAAGGTAGAACTGCCCTTGTGCGCTTCTGAGACTGTAACGCTTTACGAGTGTAGAAAGGCTTTTCTCCCACGGAGTGGCTGGTGGTTTAGAACTGCTGACCTTACAGTGAGAAGAGACGCCCAACACACAACCATGTAAGCCCCCAGGGTTCCTGACCCACTGCATCAGTGGTGGCATAATCCAGGAAAGGGCAGTGGACGCATGACACAACAGGAAGAACAGTATGAATGGGATTAAATCAGTCATGACACGTATTGGTGAGTGTTTTGCTGTGTCTTTTTACCCCAAAAGCAAACAAAAAGGAAGCCCCAGCCTGGGCCTCCCTCTGGGATTCGGATGTCCTTGGTCTGAGCTGTGAACTGGGAGTCGGGGCCTCTATCCACCTGGCTTCCTACCCCCTGAGGCCACAGGCCTGTGCCTGTGCAGATCCTCATCACCTCCCTGGGGCCCCACTGCCCCAGTTCGTGACTTCCTGCCAGGAGAGGACTCATGTGCCCACCCTCACTACCTTTGGCAGAGTCCCTTGGCACACATCACATCTCTTCACAGCAGTTTTTCCAGCCATCGGGGGTACTGGGTATGAACACTCAACACCACACCCTGCCCAATCAGGACCTGCTTCTTAGAGGGCATTGGGATCAGGCACTGGGCTGAGCTGAACCGAGGAGGCAGGTAGCAGGATTCAAACCCAGGACCCCTTGACACATTGCCCCTGCTCTGGGCCCCACCTCTCCCTCTGACCCACTCATCTACCTAGACCTGGCCTCAAAGCCCCATGGGCCTCACTGCTGCCCACTAGGAGGGACACAGACCCTGAGGCTCAGGCGAGGAGGTGATCTCTGTCCCCCCACGGCCCCATAACACCCTGGCAGACTGCCTACTGCTGCCTCCTCCCCTCACAGCCCCACTCATTTATGTCCCCAAAACAAAACACCCAGTTGGCACAGAGGGTTAAGTCTAGTGTTGATGACGACAAGGTTGGTTGGTTGCACCCAGGAGCAGCTTCACAGGAGAAAGACGAGGCTGTCTGCTCCAGGAAGGACTGACAGCCTCAGAAACCCTGCCAGGAGTTACTGAGTCAGAACCCTTCCATGGCAGTGAGTCCCCCAAGGGCCCCACGCGGGAGGGGACCAGCGTGGTGTTCCTGGAAGGTAACTTGGTGGTCTCTCCATCCAAGCACAGGGCTGTTTTGGGACCCTCCATCTCCGCCTGAGTCTCAGAGATTCCTGAGAGCCACGGGCAGCACCAACCTCACAGCCAGTGCCCCACCCTGACCTCCCAGGTCAGCTGGGGCTGGGAGGAGGCGGGGCGGGGTCTCGCTCACCAAGCCTCTCCCCCACCCACACGCACTGACAGGAAGCGGGGGGGCTTCTCTGGAAGCACACTGCAGGGATTTGGGGGTGGGGGGAAGCAACTAGAAGCCTTTCAGGGACATAGACGTGAGCACAAGTCCTGGACTGGGGGCTGGGATGTTCTTTGCCCCCTCCCACTGCCCTCCAAGAATAAAGTGGGGCCTCCTGGGGGCCTATCGGGCTAGGATAAGATGGCAGCGTAGTTCTGACTTCTGCAGCCTTCTGGGCTTTTTTCCAGGGCCCATGCTGCCCTCTGAGCACCTGTGGCTGCTGGCAGGAAATACTTAAAAAGCTTTCAGAAGTACACTTTCCTTCCCATAGGGCAGTTCTGCTCTGTCGTATGCGGTCCCTCTGAGCCAAAACTGACTCAGTGGGAGAGAGGGAAGGGGTGTTTGTTTGTTTGTGTTTTTGGACATATATGCCTGACCTCGGGTCACCTAGATTTGGTCAAATCTCTGACCAAAGGCTCATTATATTTAGCCTTCAGGACATTTGTATATGTTTTATTTCAGATTAAATTAGTGGTGGTGGTGGTTGTCACTGAAAAAAAAAGTACACTTTCTCTGATGTTTCTGCTTGAAGTCCGGATGAATCTGCCTTCTCTTCTCAAAGGCCATGAGCCCAATGTGGGCCAGCGGGGCGATGCTACTGGGACACACCGAGTGTGACTGCTGGCCGGGAAACAGATGGCTCTGTCCCTGGCTGGTGTTTTGGCAAGATGCACACAGACATTGAAACCCTAGTCACCAGTGCTGTCAAGTCCATGCACACACACAGCGACCCCGCTAGGGTTTCTGAGACTGAGTCTTTAAGGGAGCAGACAGCCTCATCTTTCTCCCAAGGACCGGATGATGGGTTTGAACTGCCGGCCTTGCTGTCAGCAGCCCAACCCATGCCTAGCCCACAGTGTCACGGGGGCTCCTCCGATCACCATGACCATTGTCTGCTGTTTTTGTTTTGTTTTTTAAACAAAAGGCCTTAAGCCAGAAAACAAATGCCCAGACAGGGACACTCGGTGGCCTTTGAGATAGTTTCATCCACTGCACAGTGCCGCCCTCCCTGCCATTCCCAGGGGAGGGGACGCTGGTGCTGGCCCCCAGCAAGGCCTGGTGATGGAGCCGAAAAGTCGCCGGGGCTGCTGACGGAGGAGAACAAAGCCAGGCTTCATGCTGCACCTGGTGGCCCATTCGGCGAGCACTTAGGAAGGCCTAGGCCACACGCACGCACACATGCACGTCTTGGCTTTAATGACATCCTGTGAGTTTATTTTTCCACAGAGAAATATTTGCCCGGGAAATGTCCATAAAAGCCACTCCCCCAGTAGTATGGCTGTGCGTGTTTCCTATAGGAAATCTGTTGAGTTTAAGTCCCAGGTTTATAAAGCAGGGGAACCCGGAGAATGCTACCGACAGCCCCAAGTCCCCGTGGGGTCCCTAAGAGGAACCTCCAGGCTGCTTAGCCTCTTCCCTCTCGAGTTTTCAGGACTCTTGAAAAATCGGTTCTGTTCAAATTCGAGTCAACGCCAACTTGTCCCTGGCTGGTGTTTTGGCAAGATGCACACAGACATTGATTCGGCTTCCAAAGGAAAATTCACTGTCATCGAGTCAATGCTGACTCCCTGCGACCCTGTAGGGCACGGTAGGACTGTGTCCCTGTGGGTTTCTGAGACTATAACTCTACAGGGGCAGAAAGCCTCGTCTTTCTCCTGCAGAGCCCAGAGCAGGAGACAGCATCCACAGAGCCCAGAAGTCAGGGAGGGACAGGCGGGAACGATGAATGGAAAGCCGGAGGCCAGGGAAGAAGCGGAGAGAGTGCTGTCACCCCAAGGAGCATGTCACCAAGTATAAGCCGTGAGGAAGGCTGGATGGGAAGCGAAGGTGCTCTGAGAACATCCGCCCAAACCGCAGTCAACGTTCACACGAGAAGAAACCATCAGGAACGTACAGAGCACGTCCTAAGATGGTAGAGTATGTCCAAGTATTAAGTGTGAATGGGATAAATTCTCTGAGGCAAAAAAAAAAAGACTACTTTGTAGGATGTTTACAAGTGACACATTGGAAATAGGAGAATTTGCGTTTGGAGACTTGAAGGTCAAGGGTGAAAAACTCCAGGGCAGGCATGAAACTGCATGGAGAGATCAATTAGGACAGTTGGTGGGACACCTAAACACACCTCTCTTAGGAAGTGGTGAAGCAGGCAGCGCCTACAAGGGTATGGATCGGGACGGCGGCATTAACAGGCGTGGCTGAGTGAGTGTGTGCTGATAGACCTTCTACCCAGCGGCCGGAACAACAGATCCTCTTAGAAATGACATGGAACATGTCATGGAAACTGTGTACAAGGTCCAAAGGGGGGCTGCAGAACCAGCAAGTGCTGATGCCTGCCCGCCACACACTGAACTGGTGCCAGGGCACCAGGGATCATCAAGGAGGAGATGCCCGGCCACACTGGACAAGGGGCCAGAGGAGAGGCGATGACAGAAAGGAGGGGGATTTAGGAAGGGCAAAAGAAGACGTTCAGTCAATGGGATCAGACGCGTGGCTAAGAGAACACTGAACATCACAATGGGACTGTTGTGAACTGTTCACAAGAGAGAAAGAAGTCAGCGTTGCATAAAGGAGGCAGCAGAATCTGTGTGTGTGTGTGTGTGTGTGTGTGTGTGTAATGCATACAAAATAGACAACTGGGGGAAAAAACAGATGAGTAAATGGAGACTCGCTAGGAATGGGGTCACCTTCACAAGGTGACATTACACGTGATGTTTATTTGCTACACGAATTAATATTATTTCATCAGAAAATAAGTGCATGGGATTGTTATAAGAGTTGTAAGAGCCCCCAATAAAATGATTAAAAAATAAAGAAAACGAGTGAATGTGGTTAGGATCAGGGCACAGAGACCGCCTCCACCTTGTGGTCCACTGAGCTCCGGTACAGGCCGACACCCTGCTCACCAGCAGGGAGAGAGGTCCCTGGGAGGGTTCACGACTGAAGGAGCATGTCCTGCAGGGGCAAACACCCCCGGGACCAGGGTTGTCACGGCCACTCCAGGTGAGGAGGCCCTTTCTCCCCCACCCGCAGCCTCCAACCCACTTAAAACAGGGCCGTGCCCTCGCCAGCTCTGGGTCCTGGCCTCCCCTTCTTGCGTCCCATTCCCCCTGCTTCCAGGAAGTCTGCCCAGACACCCTGGACACCACCCCTTGGCCTGCTGACAGGTGTTTGACAAGGGTGTTGGCAACATCCCTGGAAAAAAAAATGCACGTGTGTCAGTCACCACTGAGTTATTGGAGCTCACGGCCGCTCCGTGCGCATCCAAATAGAGCTGGGCCGGCCTTCATCCAGCTGTTCCTTCCCAGCTGGAATGGAGCCTCCAACCTGTGGGCTCGCCTTCAAGGGCGTCCAGACAGGGTTCCACCACCACAGACGAGAGCCTTCAAATGCGCTGGAAAGGAGATGACTGCAGGTGCGGTCAGGTTACCATCGAACACCTTACCCTCAGACCTCCCTCGGGACCCACTGCAAACGGGTTCTGGTTTTTAATATTTTTCTGCTTTCTTTTCTATTACGGTTCTTCCCTATTTTACTTTATCGTTATTTAGTTACGTTTAGAAAAACATTCTGAACTCAACCCCAAAGAAACAATGCAATTATTGTCTCTATCCATCTACCTACTTACCTACCTATCATCTATCACCTGCTATCGATCATCTACCATTGACGTATCATTTACAATCATCTATGCATCCATCCAAACATCCATCTACCTATCAATCATCTAATAATCCTTTATCTACTTACTTATAATCCATAATCATCTACCTTGAAGCACTTGCTGATAAAGATCAAAGACTGCAGCGTTCAGTATGGATGACAACTCAATGGAAAGATGAAAATCCTCATCTCTGGACCAACAGGGAACAAACAGCATGATAAGCAGATAAGAGGTTGTCAGGGATTCTGTCTTGCCTGGATCCACAATCAATGCTCATGGAAGCAGCAGTCGAGATCAAAAGACGCACTGCACTAGGTCAATCTGGTGCACAAGACCGCCTTCCTTAGAGTGTGGAAAAGCAAGGATGTGACTTTGAGGGCTGAAGTGTGCCCGACCCAAGCCACGGTGCTTTCGGTGGTCTCCTCTGCCTGTGACAGTTGGACACTGAATGAAGAGGACTGAAGAAGAGTCAGTGTGTTTGAATTGCAGTGCTGGAGAAGAACGCTGAAACACCCTGGACGGCTAAAGGACAAACCCATCTGTCTTGGAAGAAAGACGGCTGGAGAGCAACTGAGAGCCAAGGAAGGCAAGACTTCGTCTTACATACTTTGGACATCTTGTCAGGAGAGGCTAGTCCCTGGGGAAGGAAGAACATTATGTGTGATAAAGTGGAGGGCCAGCAGAAAGAGGACGGCCCTCGACAAGGTGGGCGCACACCTGGCTGCAACAGTGAGTTGAGCACAGGTCCAGTGGCGAGGCTGTCGCAGGAGCGGGCAGGGCTTCGTTCTGTGGTGCAGAAGGTCGCTATGGGCCAGCACCGCCTCACCAGCACCTACCAACCCAAGCCACCTATCAGTTATCTGCCTGTCATCTGTCCACCTCCCTACATATCCGCTATCGATCACCTACCTATCTATCTATACAGAGGTTGTTTCCCACATAAACAAGGCAGCACACACTTGTAATAACAAAACACTGACGCTATTATTAATTCCACAAGACGACTGGGTCTCCCAAGAAAGCGTTGGCTGGTTTTTGCTTAACCTGCCTTCACGGCCAGCCTCTGTTGCCACCGATGATGCAGGTGGCTGGGACACGAGTGTTGCTCGGTTCAAGGAGTAAGAGATGGGGAACGTGGCAGTGGGGACCTCGCCACTCCATGGAGGATGCGAGCACCGTGGCTGTATGCGAGTCGTGGTTGGACCCTGGACAGGTATGCCTGTGTTCACTGCGATTTGAAACTCAAAAACACCAGACTCGGCCTCCTCTCCTGACCTCTCACCTGCGTGGTCTACAGTGCTTTCCTGCCAGCGCCTTCTTAAGTGGGGACAATCATCAGGACAATAAGGCCAGCCCAATTTTGCAGATCAGAGGCCTGGCGGCCTCGTGGTTAGGCGTGGGCTATGATTGCCAGCTCCTCACGAGACAGGCTTTCACTCCTGTGAAGAGTGACCGTCTTGGAGGCACAGGGCCAGTTCTACCCTCGCTGTGAGTTGGCACGGCGTCGAAAGCAGTGAGGCTGCTCTGTTTCTGTGTGTGCCAATGCCCCTGGTACCAACCCTCCCGTCGTGGCCGGCAGTGCCTTCACTCACAGGGAGCTGAGCAGAGGGGGCAACAGCATGTGTTGGGGGGCTCCAGATCACAGGCAGGGGCAAACGGAGACTCGCTAGGGAACAGTGAGTGAGGGGCTGGCATCTCACTTGTTTTTGCACAACGGCTGGGAACTTCTTGACAATTAACGAGTGTCCGCGGCCCAGCCGGTCTCCAGCCTGCTCCTGGTGCTCAGGCCATTCCGGGGCAGAGGGCTTTGGAGGCTGGAGAGCGTGGGGGTCAGGGGTCACTCAGCATGCCTGGAGGTGGCTGTGCAGCTGGAGAAGTGACCCCCCCAGACTGGGCCCTGCTAAGTTCTTCCTAGGGGTACCTGGGGGGCCCTAAAAGCGGACTGGCCCAAACATGCCTGCCCCTGTGGCCCAGCCAGTCTCCTTCATTGCTGGAGGAGGAGTGTTTTAATGCCGCAAATGGATGTTTGGCCAGGTGTGAAAATGGGACCCCCGGCCCGGCATGTGGCTTTACAGGGCCAGAGTGAGCTGCTGTATGAAGGATATGGCCCAGAGCCCACGACAGTGCTTGAAGCCAGCAGGGAAGCCACCAAGGACAGCAGCCTCCCGGCCCTGCCGCGGGAGCTGTGCCAGGGAGCTGCCAGGAGGGTTTGAGTCTGCAACAGGCCCCGGGTTTCAGGCTCAAAATCCACCAGAGAGCCTGTGTTGGAAGTTTCTC